CATACAACCTGAGGTGCTGACCAGGACCCATGTGCTTGGGCGGCCTGGCTGGATGGAGGTGTGATGGTGGCAGGCACACAACAGGCCCCTTGGTACTGGTTGCAGCCACGCCGGCTGCGGCCAGCACTTGGAGGTGTTTCCCCCAGTACCCAGTGCACAGTGGGCACTCTCACTTGGCACTTCTTCTCTGCAGATGGTGCACACGCTCGCCAGCAACGGGGCCAACTCCATCTGGGAGCATTCCCTGCTGGACCCCGCGCAAGTACAGAGCGGCCGGCGCAAAGCCAACCCCCAAGACAAAGTCCAGTGAGTTGTGCCGGAGGGGTGGTGGCAGGGGCTGTGTGGTGTGGGACGTGGGTCTGAGAGGTGGCGGGGGGAATAGCCTCTCCCACTCTGCCCCCCACCCATTTCATCCTCTGTGCCCCATCCAGCCCCATCAAGTCAGAGTTCATCAGGGCCAAGTACCAGATGCTGGCATTTGTGCACAAGCTTCCTTGCCGGGAAGATGACGGGGTCACTGCCAAAGACCTAAGCAAGGTTAGAGGGGCCCCATGGTGGACAGATGGGTGGGCCTCCCCTCCTGTTGCCCACAGTACCCCGAGGGCCTCTCCATCACCACCGAGCCCTAGGCCCCAAAGGCAGCCAGCCGGGTCAGACAAGGATCGTGGGCACAGCAGGGGATGGAGATTGGGTGGTCAGCTGCATGTGGCCAAGGCCCCTCCGCCTCTAGGTGGACACAACAGGCTGCCATCCAAAAGCCGGGAAAACTTGAGGCGGTTTCTTAGCCACTCAGAGCCTCAGTTTCCTCCTCTGTAAAATGGGAAAGAAGCAACAGCATCTCCCTCATAGATAATGCCTGTTTCAAGCAGAGCCCATAGCACAGGTAGATGGTGACTGATAGCAGCTGTTAGTATTTGGCGCTAAAGCCTCTGTCCTCCCTGACAACCCAACTTCAGCCGGGCCCTTGGAGCTGGTAGGAGTCCCAGCAGCTGCCTAACTTCGTACGGCTTGGGGGTGGGCGGGGGGGTGCTCACACACACTCGCTGCACACTCTGCTCCTTGCAGCAACTGCACTCAAGCGTGCGGACGGGCAACTTGGAGACATGTCTGCGCCTGCTGTCCCTGGGTGCCCAGGCCAACTTCTTCCATCCAGAGAAGGGCACCACACCTCTGCATGTGGCTGCCAAGGCGGGGCAGACACTGCAGGCTGAGCTTCTTGTAGTGTATGGGGCTGATCCTGGCTCCCCTGATGTTAATGGCCGAACGCCCATTGACTATGCCAGGTGAGGGTCGGATGATGGGTGAGGCTTGGGCGGGTAGGGGGAGTGGACTGCTGCGGCAGGGCTGAGCCATGCCCCCTCCCCACAGGCAGGCGGGGCACCATGAGCTGGCGGAAAGGCTAGTCGAATGCCAGTATGAGCTCACTGACCGGCTGGCCTTCTATCTCTGTGGACGCAAGCCGGGTGAGCAGAACGTGGGGTGGGCCTGGCTGGGCCAGGCAGGTGGGACCCAGACACACCCCAGCAGCAGGTGCCATGGTGACCGAGCCGGCTGGGGAACAGTGTTGCTAGGCAACTGGCTCCCGTGAAATTGATGACGGCTCTGGGCTACAGCACACTGGGGTAGGGAGTGGGGGGTGGGCATCGCTTCCAGTCACCTCCCAGGGCTCTTGGGGGTGGCCTGCCCTCATCCCTGTCCCCTGACACTTCTGGGTGCCAAGGTCTGCTCGTGGCAGTGAGGTGGGCTCCCAGCTGCTAAGGCCACCCAGCACCAGTGACTTGGCATTTTTATTTTTGTTCAGATCACAAGAATGGGCATTACATCATCCCACAGATGGCTGACAGGTGAGTGCCCACCTGATGCCCCTTCCCAGGGGCTTTTGGACACCATGTGGGTGCCTGAACCCCAGAACCTCTACCCCTCCCAGTCCCCGGGCTTTAGGGACCCCACCCCAGGTCTGGTGTACAAACATTTCAGTCAGATCCTCACTCCCTAATGCTGGGCCCTATGGCAGGGAAGGGATGTCAGCTCAGCACATGGCCAAGCACCGCCTGAGCCCCAGGCCATCACACATAGGCCTGAGTACAAGAAACACCTGCCCCAGGAGGGGTGGCTCACTGGGCTCTGCTCCAGTGGCACTCACCCCACTGTAAAATCTTAAGACGAGCCTCTGCTCTTCATTGAAACGATGGTGGGCTCCAGGGATTTGACTAACTTTGGGCCTCCGTGGTGTGCTCAGAAATTGGGGAGGGGTGGGAGGTGGGGGCAGGGCCCGTCACAACTGAGGTGTTTCTGCCTCTGATCTGAAAAGCCTCCGCGCGCCTAGGCTGTGGGGGGACATGCACCCAGTTCACAAGATGGATGCTGGCGCCACCTGGTGGCCACATCTGAAGGCCATTTTTCCAACCTGTGCCTGCTGGCCTGGATCCGAGAGAGGAGGCTCCCTCCCTCTCCAAAGACCAGTGTGGGCAGACAGGGATTGCCAGGCCTAGGCGTCTTGAATCCTTGAACCCAGACCTACTCTGTTCTGAGACTCCAAGATTCCCTCCTACTTCTCTGGTCTTATTTTGCGGGGTGTGTGTACCTGCATGTGTCTGGTGTATGTGTTTAAACACATATGGGCATGGACTCAATAAAGGGCTAACCGAGCACCTGCCCGGTGCCAGCTGCCGCTCTTGGCCCTGAGACACACGGGTAACTCAGATATGATCTCTGCCCTTCAGGAGCTCACAGTCCAGGGAAGGAGGCAGCCTGGTCAGATAGCTGTAGTTCAGTGTGGGGAGTACAGCAGAAGTAAAGGCATAAATGGTATAAGTCAGAAATGCTGTGCCAGGACCTGCAGGGAGTCATGTGGCTGGAGCATAGTGTGAGAAGCAGGGAATCCCAGGAGCAGCACTGGACTGGAAACAGGCGAGAGAATGGCGAGTCCTGTGAGCCCCAAGAAGAGCAGAGAGGTTCCAAGCCCGGATATGTCAGCTCTGCCATTTACTGGCTGTGTGACTTCAGGCAGGCTACTTACCCTCTCTGAGGCTTAGTTACCTCCTGGGAATAAAGGCAACAGTACCTACGTTTTCTGGGCTGCTGACAGGATTAAAATAAGATAATGCACACTAAACACGTAGTATATTTTTTAAGGAAGTTTTTTATTAAAGTACGGTTGAAGTATCCATACATGTGTTTTGTCATTAAGATGTTTTTAAGGCCAGGGGTAGTGTGGCCCAACGTGTCAAAGAGATGACCCAGGCTGCTGGGTGGAAAAACAGGGTTGTAGGGGCAAGACTGGAAGTGGGAAGATGGATGAAGAAACTTGCAAAGGCCCAGGCAAAGAGGGATCGATGGCAGAACCAGAGAAAGCTTGGCTGGGGCTTGAGGGTGAGGGAGGTTTCTGGTGACTCCTAGAAGCAGACGCTGGTGCTGGGTGAGTGGGTCACAGAGGGAGAGAGCAGGTTGGTCTAGGAGCAGGTTGGGAGGGGAGAGGAGTTCGTTTTGCACCCTCCGGGTCTGGCGTATACACGGAGATGGGTCTGAGCTTGCCGTGGAAGGCACGTGGGGCCCTGCTCCTGGGTAATCGCTGCCTCTGTCCTATTCTTTCCTCTGCTGCCTTTCTCTGGACTTAGATCTCGGCAAAAGTGCATGTCTCAGAGGTATATGGTGCCTGCTTCGGGAGCAGGCTCTGGAGGTTGGGGGCAGGGTGGGGGGTGGCATCTGGTGTGCAGCATCTGGGATGTTGTCTTCCTGGGATCCCTGCATGTTTGGGAGTCACAAGTGGGGGCCTGGTCACCTCTCCTGTCTGCCCATTCTCATCTCCCTCCTCCTTCCACAGCCTAGACCTGTCCGAGCTGGCCAAAGCTGCCAAGAAGAAGCTGCAGGCGGTGAGTCCACTTGGATGGGCTCCTACTACTTGGAGCTGTCCTCACCTCTGAGCCTCGACCCCTAAGATTGCTCCTCCTTCCTCTGATGGTCTCCTTTTCCAAGGGTTTGACCTGCCCCTCACTCTGTCTTCCCTGCTCTCTTTCCCCCACCTCCCCACCCCTGGTCTTTGACCCTGGCTCTGCCCTCCGTAGGCTCCCTGGGCCCTAGCTCCACCTCTGACCTACCAGGGCACTAACTGGTCTGATCTGGTCTCCCTTCCATCCTCTCCCACCTTGGAGCTTGGCAGAGAGACCCCTGCCCCAGTTTCCAGTTCTGAGATTGTGGGGGCTGGGCAGCATAAAGGACACAGGCCACTTCCCACATCTTAGGACATCCTGGTTGACCTGGCCTTGTCAGCACTGGGGACCAACTGATTTGACAAAGACGGGGTCCCCCTTTTGTCTCTAGCTCAGCAACCGGCTTTTTGAGGAACTTGCCATGGATGTGTACGATGAGGTAGACAGAAGAGAAAATGATGCTGGTGAGCCAAGAGGGCATCTGAGGCTGAGGGTGGATGAGACACGGGTACCTACCCACCTACTGAGGAAGGGCTGGGACCTGGTGTGGCTCTTGGGGCCTTTTGCTGGGACTAAGAAGGGAGGCCTGAGGTTGGTCTGCTCGGCAGGTCTGCCTCTCCACCCCTGCTGGCTGTGAGCAGCCCGGGCAGCCTCCCCAGCCAGGCGGAGCGTGCTGAGCTGGAGGCAGCCAGCCTGCTCCTCCGCCCCCACCCCTGGACTGGGACTCATCTCTGCTCTGGCTGCCTCCCACTTTGGCTCACTCCCCAGTCCCACTCCACCCCCCCCTACATCACTCCTTCCTGGCCACAGCCAGATTCCAGCCCAAACCCTGGGCTGGGCCTGGCAAGGAGGAGTCGCCTCATTCTGTTCGTCGTCATCGGCCTGGCCAGTCTTGCTGGCCTCGCCCAGCCCTGCCCTGACCCAACCTTGCCTCTGGTGTCTAAAGACCACCCCTGGTTTGAACACCAGCATTGGTGGACGTGGGGAGGATTGAGGAAGGCTGTGCTCAGCACATCCCCACCTCCACCCCGTGGGCCTGGCCACCGTGGACGCTCTGGATGATCTGCTCCCTGCTCCTCCCCCACTCCTCCTCCCCCAGTGTGGCTGGCTACCCAGAACCACAGCACCCTGGTGACGGAGCGCAGCGCTGTGCCCTTCCTGCCTGTGAACCCCGAGTACTCGGCCACGCGGAATCAGGTGAGGGGGCCGGACAGGGACCTCTCCTCCCCTGCTGGGGTCGCCAGCTTCGCGGGCCCTGCCCTTCCTCACCGGCTGTTGTGTGGGCTTCTGCCTGGGCCTGCTCTTCTCCCCTGGCCTAGGCCTCTCTCAGGGCCCTGCTAGCACTGGGATTTGGGATTTGGGATTTGGGGGAAAGTTTTTTTTTAAGCTCTTCGTGAGCAGCTTCTGGGGGACATTCCAGCCTCTTCTTGGGAGCTCCCCAGGCACCCAGAATCTGGCCGGGTGAGCCAGGTAGCAGGGGACGGCCTTGCTTTGTTCCCACACCCATCTATCAGCTGTAAGGGGGCTCGTCATGCAGGCTGGGTTCTTTCTGCCTACCAGGGGCGACAGAAGTTGGCCCGCTTCAATGCCCGAGAGTTTGCCACCTTGATCATTGACATTCTCAGCGAGGCCAAGCGGAGACAGCAGGGCAAGAGCCTGAGCAGCCCCACAGGTGGGAAGGGTGTCGCTAGGGCTGAGGGCAGTGGGTGTTTTTCTAGTATATTCTTTCATGGCTCCCTTTTGGGGTGGCATGATGGAAGGGTCGTGTGGCAGAATACTGAGTAACTGGACTATGTCCTCAGACAACCTTGAGCTATCCGCGCGGAGCCAGAGTGACCTCGACGACCAGCACGATTACGACAGTGTGGCCTCAGACGAGGACACGGACCAGGAGCCCCTGCGCAGCGCCGGTGCCACTAGGAACAACCGTGCCCGGGTCTGAGCACTGCCCCTCCCCGGGCCTCCATTAAGGCCCGGCTCTATCCCCTTGTAGCCCAGGGCTTCAGGGACTAGTGGGCTGGTTATGGCCTCGAGAACAGTCTTCTGTGGGCATTCACCCCCTGCCCCTGATGGCTAACCAGCTTCTTTCTCACTCTGCAGAGCATGGACTCCTCAGACCTGTCCGATGGGGCCGTGACGCTGCAGGAATATCTGGAGCTGAAGAAGGCTCTGGCTACCTCCGAGGCAAAGGTGCAACAGCTCATGAAGGTCAACAGCAGCTTGAGTGATGAGCTCCGGAGGCTGCAGAGGGAGGTAAGGGCTGCAGCATTGGTGGGAGTGCCCAGGTCGGAGAGGATCCTCCGCTCCCAGAGGTGGGGTGCTGCCTGGATCCTCTGGAGTTTCTGACATCACTGTCCACTCTCAGATCCACAAGCTGCAGGCAGAGAACTTGCAGATCCGGCAGCCACCCGGGCCAGTGCCCACACCCCCACTGCCCAGCGAGCGGGCAGAACACACACCCATGGGGCCTGGCGGGAGTGCCCATCGCAGGGACCGCCAGGCCTTCTCCATGTATGAACCAGGCTCTGCCCTGAAGCCCTTTGGGGCCCCGCCTGGGGATGAGCTCTCTACCCGGCTACAGCCTTTCCACAGCACTGTGAGTTGCCTGTGGGTCTCCAGGACTGGGGGGAACAGAGGGCTGGGGCTGCCGCAGGGCCCTCCGTGACACCTGTGCCAATCCCCAGGAGCTGGAGGATGATGCTATCTATTCAGTGCATGTCCCTGCTGGCCTTTACCGGGTAAGTAGGGCCTGGAGGAAGCGGATCCATTTCCGCAGATAGGTCTTGAGCCCCAGTGGGTGTCAGGCTTTGTGCTGCTGCTGGGCACAGGAATGACTAGATATACCTGGTCCCTACCCTCACTGCCGGGAAGCTGGAAGGCGGGTGGCAGGGAGGAGAGACTGACTCCAGTCTTCCTGGGTTTCAGATCCGGAAGGGGGTGTCAGCCTCAGCCGTGCCCTTCACTCCCTCCTCCCCACTACTGTCCTGCTCCCAGGAAGGAAGCCGCCATACGGTAATGTTCCAATCCCCAAGGGGACAGGTGATGGGCTGTGTGGGTCTGTGAATGTGAACCTCACCCACTACCCCTTCCCTGATCCTCCAGAGCAAGCTTTCCCGCCATGGCAGTGGTGCTGACAGTGACTATGAGAACACGCAAAGCGGGGACCCACTGCTTGGGTGAGACACCCCAGGGAAGAAGGCTGACTGGGCTCTGGAGGATCTGTGAGGGTACAGGCAAGCGGCTTACCACTGGAATGTCTCTTTCTAACCCTGACCTCAGGCTGGAGGGGAAGAGGTTTCTTGAGCTGGGCAAGGAAGAAGACTTCCACCCAGAGTTGGAAAGCCTGGATGGAGACCTTGACCCTGGGCTTCCCAGCACAGAGGATGTCATCCTGAAGACGGAACAGGTCACCAAGAACATCCAGGAATTGTTGCGGGCTGCCCAAGAATTCAAGCATGACAGGTAAAGGGCTCACAGCAGCCCCTGGGTGTTGCAGAGGGCAAGGGGGTGGGGGGTGACCAATGTTCTGTCCCCGCAAACCCTGCCGATATTTCCCCTCCCCTGCCCCCACAGCTTTGTGCCCTGCTCGGAGAAGATCCATTTGGCTGTGACGGAGATGGCCTCTCTCTTCCCAAAGGTACAGGGGCCAGAGAGAAGAGCAGGAATGGAAGGCTCTCAGGGTGGGGCAGGTGTAGGGAATGTGACCACTACCTGGGTGGAGACGAGGGAGGACACACTGGGCCATGTTCATGGCTCATGGTTTGAAGTCCAAGGCCCAACTCCCTCCTCCCTCCCTCCAGAGGCCAGCCCTGGAGCCTGTGCGCAGCTCACTGCGGCTGCTCAATGCCAGCGCCTACCGGCTGCAGAGTGAGTGCCGGAAGACCGTGCCCCCGGAGCCTGGCGCCCCTGTGGACTTCCAGCTGCTGACTCAGCAGGTGATCCAGTGCGCCTATGACATCGCCAAGGCTGCCAAGCAGCTGGTCACCATCACCACCCGAGAAAAGAAGCAGTGACCACTCTCCCTGCACCCTCACCTGCACTGGGACCTCACTGGCCATGGGAGCTGGGCCACTCCAGACACTAATCCCCACCCCAACGGAGCCACTGGCACAAGTGCCCTTAGTGCTGCCACTGTCCCCTGGCAGCCAGGCGCCCTGGTGCCCGCCCCCCTCAAGTCCCCAAGGATGGGGAGGTGGGGTGGCAGGAGCTTCTGTCCCCCACATTCCATGCACCTCCCCCTGTACATAGCATCCCCCCCTTCTAGTGTGCAGGGGCCTCTAAGGCATCACTCCCAGCCCCTTCCCCTCTGGGGCACCCTCAGCAAAGGGTCGGGTGGGGACACTCCAAGTGAGGCCAGTTCCCCCTACAGGCACCCCACCCCCATGAGCCAGTTCAGCCCTGTTGGGGGCTGAGCCGGGGGCATCCCCTCCTTTGTACATAATCTCTGTGGATGTCCCCTGCCCTGTAGCCACCAACCCCCCTGCTGCTCTCCTTTAATGTCAAACGGCCCCTGCCTAGGGCACAGGCCCCAAACCTGTGTTCCCAGGGTCCCTAGCAGCAAACACTGGAAAATCTTTTTTTTTTCTCTCCTCTTCCACCCCTTAATTTTAACATTGTGGTAACTGAGTGTCCCTGCGTGCCTGTGTGTGCGTGTGCGGGGCGGCAGTGCCGTTCCGGAGGCCTGGCCCATCTGGAGTTTTGTGAAGGGTGAGGGGACCAGGGCAGCAGGACCAGAGTTAGGGGTCAGTCCCCCACTCTCCCATCCTGGGGCCAGGGACTGCTGGTAAATCATCTGGGGTCCTACCCGTTGCCTTCCCCCATCGGTCCCCTTCTCTATGAACTTACAAAAAAAAAAAAAAAAAAACCACTTCCCTGCATCTCTCCTCCCCCCCCCTCCCTTGTGGAGGGGGCTGTGCTGGCTGGGGCAGAGAACTGAGCACCTGAGCCTGGGGCTGGCTCCCCGGGGTCCCTGACTCAGCTGAGAGCCCCCTCCTATAACCTCTGAGAGGCCAGCACCTGCCCTGCAGTCTCTGGGTATCTGGAATCTGGGCAGCAGCCTGGGAAGGCTGGAGAGGCAGATGGCCGTGCCTACCAGCCCTTCTCTCTGTCCTGCCTCTGCCCTAGGGGCCAGGCTGTACCTGTGTGGTGGTGGGTGGGCTGACTGTCAAGACGTGTGTCATGTACATTTGTATCAAAAATAAATAAGTGACCATGTGCTGTTGCTAGTGTTGAAAGAATTTGGGGGTGGGGAGGTGACAGACATGAAAGGGACAAAGACAGACCTGGCAAGAGCATGAAACAAATGAAGACTACAGCTGCTCCAGACCTGGAACTTGCAAGGAAAGCCCTTGTGTTCTAGAAAAGAAGCTGGGAAATAAACGTGTCAGTAACTACCACCACCACCACCACTTTCTCCCTCCCCACCGTTGGTCCTACCACACTCCTAAAACTTTGGCTGAGGCCAGGAAGGCTGGAGGAGGCAGGCTGGTGGGTGCCTAACTTGATTTTGTAAGCACCCACTTCAAACAAAACCTAAGTGGCCGAGGACAGTGTCCTGGCTGGGAGTGTCTGTGTGGCAGAGACACAAGCTCAACTCCAAACTCTACCAAAATAATTTAATTAGAAACACAGCCCATCCCTCCCCCACCCCCGCAGCCCCCAGCCAACCACACCTTAAGAACAAGCCCGTTTGCAATGCTTAGGCAGGACTGCTCCATCTGGCCACCAGGGGGCGGTCCTGCGCAGGGTCCACGTGGCAGAGGTCGCGGCCTCACCAGGCGCGGCGAAACCAAATCCGCCAAAGTGGCAGGGCTCGGGTCAAGTCAGTCGGAGCTATCCCCATCCGGGCCGCTGTCCGGCGTGGGCGGGAGGAGGGGTCTCCGGCGGGAGCGCTTGACCCGGCGCGGGGGCATCAGTAGCCTCCGCTTCAGCACAGCTACGGGCAGGGTGGGGAAGGGTCGTGATCGGCAGGGATGCCCTGGAGGTCCAGGGCTGGGTTGGGTGGGTAAGGAGGGTTAACTTCTCACCAGCCACCGTGTCCTGGCTGTCCGCTGTGGGCTCCCAGTAGATGCTATCCCCCCGTCGGAAGTTTCGGTGCAGCCGTGTGCAGAGCGTGGCCAGAGTGAGCAGCACTAACAGGAAGGTCAGGGCCATGGCCGCCCAAGCAGCCTCCTCCGTGCGCGGGGTAGGGCCCCGGGCTACCCGCGGGGGCACTGCTGCCCGAGGGGCTGGGGAAGCCTCACTTGGACAGGTACAGCCCCCTGGGCTGCTTTGCCCTTTGAGCACTTGAGCCTCTATCCTGGAGCTGGCATTGCCTCTGGGCCCCTCATGCATCAAGGGGAGAGTGGGCACAGATGGGGCATCACTCCCCTCACCCCGGGCTGCCGGCATGGGCTGCTTGGCCTCCGAGCTCCGTGGAGAGGCAGGGGGGAGCCTCGGGGCTGAGGGCGTGGGCTGGAGACCGAGAGCGGCCCGCAGCCCACGCCTCTTGGCACCGCCAGGAGAGAGGTGCCTGGACCCTCCAGCTGCCTCCTCCACACCTGGGGGCCGCCAGCTCCGCAGGGTAAAAGCCAAAGCTGGGGCCTTTGGGGAGAGAGACAGCAGTCACCCTTTTCCTGCCCAGATAACCCAAGGACCCCACCACCAACCAAGCCCAGCACCCCTCACCTGCAGACACCCTCTCCGGCACAGCCTCCCTCTACCTGGCCTTGGCACCAAGGGAGAAGACCCAGAAAGACCGTCAGAGCAGAACCATGCCTTCTCCTTCCTCAGCCTCCTCCGCCGCCGCCACCGCTTCTTCAGCCAGTGGGCAGCCCAGGCTGGCTCTATCCATGCCATCTCCAGCACCACCCCACATGCTGCCAGCACCAAGGGCTAGGAAAGGAGAACTAAGTTGAAGGTGGGGAGCCAGCAAGAGGAAGTCCCCGAATTTTCCTTTCCTGCACATGGGGCTGCAGCCTCTGCCAGTGCGAAACAACGACCTCTCATCAACTGCTTACCCGCTCCTGAGTAAGGCTGGAGTCCGGGGCCAGTGAGGGCTGGGCCACACAAACGTGGGCCAGGAGGGCAAGCTGGAGCTTCAGCCAAGGGTGGGCACAGGGGTGGTAGAGGAAGGTGACATCCTCAGCCTGGAGTAATGGCATGGAGACATTAAGCCAGGCCAGATGACTCTCTGAGAATCCCAAGTTCTCCCGTCCTGGAGACCAGCTTTATTAAAGGGATTTCCAAGGCAGCCAGATGACCCACCTTCGGGGCTCAGGAAAGGACAAAGAGCCCTGGGTACTGGTGAGCATTCCCTTCTGCCTCTGAGCATTTTCACCCCTCCTCTCCCTCAAATGCCACACCTCAAAGCTCACAGCTTCCATGACAGCAAGCCTGGTTAACGCTGTCAGAACACACTGTTCAGCTGTATTTCTCTGCACCTGTGATAGTGGCTCTACGGGTCTCCAGTCTAGACTGTAAAGCATCCCCCAAATGGAGACCAGGTCTCCTATCTACTGATCTACCTATATATTCAATCTTCTCCAAACATCCAAATGCAGGGCACTCAGGCAGCAGGTGCACGGTTCCACGATGCAAACACTTCATCAATTACTAATTATTTTTGATTGTGCTGACCTAATGCTCCACACTGTGCCAGATGTTACAGGAGATGCCAAAAGACAACGCCTGGACTCTGCTTGAGGGAAATGTAGAGGAAACTCAGGGCAACAGAACTAATGCAAATGAAAGAACTAATAGAACTCAAAGTGATTAGCCATTAAGTTGTAAGAGAGAAGTTGTAAGCATTACATGAATTTGGAGAAGGTGATGAATAAGGGCTGATGTGATCAGGCAAGTTCTCAAGAAAGAGCTGACTCTTGCACTGGGCTTTGGAGGTGGATGGGATGGATGGCAGGAAGGCAGGGAGCTGCCCACTCCAGCTTCTAGTCAGGATAGGCCAGGTGTGGAGAGTAAGTGGCATTAAAGGTACAGCAGTGGGAATAAGCCTGACACTCACACGTGTGGTGGATAGACCAAGATGACTGGAGAAGAACCAAAGATTTGGGGAGGTCAGACAAGGCCTGAAAAGCTGGGGGTGGGAGCGAGGGGTCGGTTGGATATGACCATAAGACGAGAAATAAGATATTGAAGGTTTCCAAACAGTGGAATGACTTAATGAAAGGGCTGTTTGAGGGAAGGAATTAGGTGGGTGGCATGAGGTTTCTTGGCCAGAAGCTATTACAAGGTTTTAAAAAAAAAAGTTAGGGGCGCCTGGGTGGCTCAGTCAGTTAAGCCTCCGACTTCAGCTCAGGTCACGATCTCACAGTCCGTGAGTTCGAGCCCCGCATCGGGCTCTGTGCTGACGGCTCAGAGCCTGGAGCCTGCTTCAGATTCTGTGTCTCCCTCTCTCTCTGCCTCTCCTCTGCTCATGCTCTGTCTCTCTCTGTCTCAAAAATAAAAACATTAAAAAAAAAAATTTTTTTTTTTAAAGTTAGATATTTCAAAAGGAAAACCAAAGGGACAGGGAAGGTATCTGACCACTGGCTTCGAAAACAGAGAGGCAGCCACGCAAGGTGAAGCCACCGTCTGGTGCCCAGTAACTGAGGCACACTCTTTACCTCATACAGCTTCCTACTTCCCAAAGTGCTATCACACACACTTCATTTAGTCCTGGGGAGGTGGGACATTAACAGCCCCTCTTAAGAAAACTGGGGCTCAGAGAAGTCAGGAGACTCTCCACAGTCACACAGCAGAGTTGGGGCATGGGTTGTTTTTTTTGCCACTAGGGCCAGAGATCCCCCTGCAGCCTCCTGCCCACGGGCAGACAGCTACTGGACAGCATTCCTGACACAGCACTGCAGACGACAGAGGCTTGTGGCTCACTGTCCCGGGCCTAAGAACACTGAGGGAACTGGTGAAGAACGGAGCTGGTGAGCAGAAAAAGTGGAGGAAGCCTGCAAGGAGCTCGCTGTTTCGGGGGCAGACACCAAGGATGGCTCCCTGCTTGTACTTACCGGCCATGGGCTCATCCGCGTGTAGGTCACTCTTGGTGACACCTATGCACGAGGGGAAAAGGAGGGCTTAGAGCAGCTGGGGCTCCGCCTGCGGGTGGGGAGGGGACAGCAGGCCCCATCCGGCCAGGCTGGGATGGAGACGCTGGCAACTGAGGGCCAGAGGAACCGGCAGAGGTCCTCAGAGGGTGACGGTGGAGGGTGCAGCGAGGCCAGAGCGGGGCTGGACTACCCCTTCACACCCCTCTCTCCCATCCCCCGCCAAGCTCCTACCTGTGGGGGCAGAGGCCACGGGCCCTCGGGACAACTGGCCCCCGCTTCCTCCTCTGGCTCAGCTACCACCTGTGGGTCCAAGGCACAGAACTGGGAGAACTAGCCTCGGTGTGGGCCCTGCCCTCTCCCTCCCAGGCCCAGCCAGTCAGGGGAGGACTCCTAGTTCCCCCTCCACGCGCCACTCCTTCCAGGACCAACTTTCAACAAAGCGCTTTGAGATCTCAGGCCGAAGCCTGCTCAAGAGCGGGTCGCCTTACCTCACTGGGACCTAGGAGCCCCGCAAGGGCTGCCAGAAGCAGCAGCTGGGGCGAAGGCGGCTGAGGCGCCATCCCGGCGGCCCGGGGCTCGGCCCGAAGTCCCACAAGCCGGAGAACGCGCGCCCCCTCCCTCCCCGCGCCCCCGCGCGCGCCCACGTGGATCCCGGGATCGCGCGCGCGCGCACCCTCCCGCCCCCACCCGCACACGACTCCCAAGATCGCGCGCCTCCCGCCTCGCCCCGCCCCCGCAGCTGCGTACTACTCTCGCCCCGCCTCCGCCCCGCCCCAATACCCGCCCACAACCACCGACCTTGCGCGCACGCGTCGTAAGCCCGAAGCCGGAAAAGTTTTGCGTAGGAACCCTGCCCAGGCGCACAGCGCTGCAGCACAGGCGGGGACCTCTCCTTCACCCGCGCTTCAGTCCCAGCGCGTCTCCACGGCCTGCGGAGGGCAGCTTCAGTGCTTGGGTGGGATCATGGAGCCAGGCGAAGGGCGGGAAGTGGGATCCCAGTGGACCGAGTGGCCCAGGAGGGAAGACGGGTACGCTCCTCCCGCAAACCCGCTTCATACACGTCAGTGTGACCTACAACTAGAAGAGGGGCAGAATCACGAAGTCCGAGCTGCGGGAGGAAGAGCGTCCTCGCTCTAGAGCTTCACCTTCAGCCCATTCCGCTCGTGCCCTCGCAAATAGGGCCCGAACCCAGAGGAGCTTCGGAGGGTCTCAAGCCACCACCCTCCCTAGGCCCAGAAGTCCGTGGAAGCTGAAGCCGGGCCTGGGGCTGCTTTGTTTCCCCCATGCCCGCCTCCGCTCTTGTCGTTAGTTCACCGATGGCTGGCATGTGCCCAGGGAGACATCTGTCACCGTGAGATGGAGTCACAGGCTTCGCCCCCAGCAGGGAGCGCTGGCCGGACCTCCCCTGCAGGGGGGCGCCGGTTCTGCTGTCTTCTTTCCAATGCCCTTCTCCTTGGCCCGACTCAGGATTTTGACGAAAGAAGGGAACGTGGGTGGAGGATGAGGGTTGAAATGCCCAGCCTCAAATTAGAAGTAGAGCGAGAAAGGGTTATTTCTAAATAGAGCAAGAACGTGACCTACAGGGGGATTTCTTACCCATCCCTCGTCCCCCCCCCCCCCCCCCCCCTGCCCGTTACTGAACCGATGAAGGGCCTGCAATCTATCCCCTGCCATGGCCCCATCGTAGGGTGACAGGCATCCTTCTCGCAAGGCACCCGAGTGCGTCTTTTCCCCGAGTTTGGGGCTGTTGCTTCTGGGGAGGTCTTTTTCAGGGAGCGGTGTTGAGGATTTCTTCTATCTGAAGCCAGGCTCCTGGGGAACCCTATGCTCCCGGTGGGGGCGGGGGCGGGATAGAGACCGCACGCTGATGCAGGCAAGGGAACGAGCCTCTTGCAGCAAACCAGCTGTTGGGCGGGACGCCGGCCCAGCCCTCGCTGGCGCTGAGCCGGACCCCCGCCCAACTGGGCTCTCGCGCAGTTGAGGGTGCCCGCGGGGCCGAGACGAACACACAGGTCAGAGAGCGCGGCCGAGCCTCGGGAGGGAGGCGCGGCTGGTGGCTCCGGCTGCAGCCGCCCCGCGGGAACGGGAGAGCCCGCGCCCCGAGCTGTGGTTTATGCACTTCTCCCTTTTGCTACTTCTCAACTGCGGCCCCTGAGGGCGCAGCGACTCAGGGTCTACCCTCGCAGCTACACACCAAGCGGGGCAGAGGGGAGGGGTCGGCGCGGACTCTGATGCTCATCCCTGAGTCCGGATCCTCGGTCTCCGAGTCTCCCCACTGTCTGCCGACAACACCCCACTCCTCGGCTCGCTGCCCTCCCCACTCCCTTCCGGCCCTCTGGCGCGTCCTCACTCCCTTTTTGTGGCCTAGGCTCCTTTCACCCTCTGCTTCAGCTTGTCGCAATCGCTGTACAAAGGGCCAGGGGCGGGAGTGGGGGGCGGGCGAGGGGAGCCGGGCCCGAACTGGCTGCCTCTGCGGGGCCACGGCCAATCCGGAGCGTCCACCCCCCACCTCCGCGCAGGAGAGCCTGGGGCAGCTGCCCGCCGCCGGGCGGAGCCGCGGGCAGAGCGGGGAGCTCGCCGAGGGGACGGCCCCGCTGCCTTCCACCCGCCGCCCGCTATCCGCCGGGGGCTCTCCCGCCTTGCCATGCCGCCGTGGGGCGCCGCCCTCGCCCTGCTTCTGGCCGCGCTCGCCCTGCTCGGCCTGCTCGCCCCGCGGCTGCGGCGCGCCGTCGGAGCGAGGACTCTGCCCGGGCCTCGCGGCCGGGACCACGAGGAGGAGGTGGACGGCAGAGGCGCCGCGGACGAGTTCAGCGACGGGCGTGAGCCGCTGCCCGGAGGGTGCAGGCTCATCTGTAAGCCGTCGGCGCTGGCCCAGTGCCTGCTGAGCGCCTTACGACATTCAGCAGCTCTGGAGCCGCGCCCGCGTTCCTGGCTCTCCGGGCCCCACCTGCAGACCCTCTGCCACTTTGTGCTGCCGGTGGGGCCGGGGCCTGAGCTGGCCCGAGAGTACCTGCAGTTGGCGGACGACGGGCTGGTGGCCCTAGACTGGGTCGTGGGACCTTGCCCCCGGGGTCGGCGGGTCACCAACGCCGGGGGCCTTCCCGCGGTGCTGCTGGTGATCCCCAATGCATGGGGGCGCCTCACTCGCAACGTGCTCGGCCTCTGCCTGCTCGCCCTGGAGCGCGGCTACTACCCGGTCATCTTCCACCGCCGCGGCCACCACGGCTGCCCGCTGGTCAGTCCCCGGCTGCAGCCTTTTGGGGACCCGTCCGACCTCAAGGAGGCGGTCACTTACATCCGCTTCCGACACCCGGCGGCCCCTCTGTTCGCGGTGAGCGAGGGCTCAGGCTCAGCGCTCCTGCTCTCCTACCTGGGCGAGTGCGGCTCCTCCAGCTATGTGACCGGCGCCGCCTGCATCTCGCCGGTGCTACGCTGCCGCGAGTGGTTTGAGGCCGGCCTGCCCTGGCCCTACGAGCGGGGCTTTCTGCTCCACCAGAAGATCACCCTCAGCAGGTGGGTAACGGAGGCCCCAGCCGGGCAAGGGGGCAATAGAGGTCTTAGGCTGACCAAGAAACATCTCTGCCTAGTATTGAATCAAATAGGTTTAGGGCAGTTTGAGCAAAGTTCTCCTCACACAATTTCTGAAGCTGCCCTGACCCTCTGGTCTACACAGAACCAGGGAAACAGGTTTAAAAGCCATAGATGGGCTCGCATCGTTATGCTAAAATAGGGACTCCTGGCCTGGAGCGCGTGGCCTCACCTCAGCCCCAGCGTGTCCTAGCAACCTGATCACCTGCCCCACCTGTAGCAGAAGCAGCACCTGACATTTACCACTTAATTCACACAGTTTGTCAAATCAGCAAAGAGGCCTCTGGAAGCAATTACAAATGATTATCCAGAATGTTTCCTTCCAGTGTCTGAGACTGGAGGTGATAGGAATCAGAAATTTGGTGTTACGTGATTTTTAACATTCTTTGGACTTGACAAATGTTTTGCATATTCCTAGGTATATTGAATCCCAAAATTTAAAGAATATGTCAACATAGTTTTTAAAAAAAAGTCTCCAAAAGGAGAGCAATCTACCATTATTGTAACAGGTGAGACTTTGGCACTGAGAAGGCCTGATCAATGTTCCCACAGCAAATAACCACATCTCAGCATGCACCGTTGATTTCCTAGGAAATGGCAAAATGAGATCAAAGACATTATAGCAGAAAGTGTGGTGTGCAGAAAGACCTGGGATGTGCAGTCAGAACCACTGGGGTTCAAATCCTAGCACTGGGTAGGTGCTCAAAAAGTGGTGGCAATTGTGATTTCTCTTTCCTCTTTTTTTTTTTCTTAATTTTTATTAGTTTAAAAAATTTTTTTAACGTTTTTATTTATTTTTGAGAGAGAGAGAGAGAAAGAGAGAAAACGAGCAGGGAAGGGGCAGAGAGAGAGAGAGAGGGAGACCCAGAATCCCAAGTGGGCTCCAGCCTCTGAGTTGTCAGCACAGAGCCCAGCACGGGGCTTGGACTCATGAACCTCGACATCATGACCTGAGCTGAAGTTGGACACTCAACCCACTGAACCACCCAGGCACCCCTAAATAGATTTTTTAAATGTTTATTTTTGAGAGAGAGAGAGAGGGAAAGCACAAGCAGGGGAGGGGCAGAAATATATGTGTGTGGGGAGAAACAGAGGTTCTGAAGCAGGCTCTGTGAGCTGACAGCGGAGAGACCAATGCAGGGCTCGAATTTGCTGCAAATACTTAACCAACTGAGCCACCCAGGTGCCCCCTCTTTCTTTCCTTGCCCCATTTTGTTGTGAGAAGGCCAATCCCTGAGCTCCACAATGGCCCAATGCTGTCATGGCAACCCAGAACTTGTGAGGAATCCAAGGGTAAGGTGTTCTTATATGGCTTAATTGCCAGTTTCCATCCCCAAATGACCACCACCAGTGCCGACTCTGGGCACCAGCTGGAGTAAGGTGAGAGAAGTGGAGAGGAAGTCTGGGCCTTTAGGATCTGCCCTGCCCATGGAAATTTGGGATTGAAAAAAAGGGCAAATCTTTTTGAATGTTTGTAGGAGACGCACATCCAAATTCAACTGGCTTAAGTTTGGACTGAACCACCCAAAAGACTGAGCTGCCTGTCCTGGCCCCCTTGTCAGGGTGCTGGGCTGTCTCCATGGAGGTGGAAGCAGCAAAAATGTCCCTCTTCCCCAGAGCAGTAGCTCTCAGGCTCCCTTGTGGGAGCTTACCCTGTAATGATACTCCCAGCCACTTCCTCTGCTGCTGGGCCCTCTCTAGGAATACCTGCATCACTGCTCAAGGTCACACTTATTTGCCATTATCTGGGCACCATATTAGGCTTTTTTTTTTTTTTTTTTTAAGTTTATTTATTTTGAGGGGAATGGGGTGGAGAGAGGAAGAGACAGAATCCCAAGCTCGAGGCGGGGCTCAAACTCACGTGAGATCATGACCTGAGCCCAGATCAAGAGTCTGACTCTCAACAGACTGAGCTACCCAGGCGCCCCCAGCATATTAGCTTAAAAAAAAAAAAAAAAAAAAAAAAGGCTAATATAACCTAAAGTAAAATGTTAACGATGGGGGATGTCACCTGCTGGTTTGGATAGTCTGAGCCAGGG